TCCCACAAGTAACTTACTGGTTCCGAGTGTGGAAGAAGGGAATGTAATTCCTTTATGAGCCATAGTTTAAACTCCTAGCATCCCCCTCAATAACCCCTTTAAGGAGTTCAGAGTACAGTGCATAAAGTGCCTGTATGATGTATTCCTTTATTCCCTACTAACCCCAGTAAGTTAAGCCCCTGAGCCAAAAAACCCAAAGCCCTAAACCCTAAACCGGAAAGCTCCTGCGCTAAAGGGATGAGAGTGATGTTGTCCACCGCCACGTCGCCGCGGAAGCTTGTGCCCGATATGACCTTCAAAGTTTCTGACACAAGGACTCTACCTAATGGGGACTCCAAGCATGAAACCAAGGGTTTAGGGGTTCAGGGCTTAGGGGAACCTCTTCTTGTTGTAGATTGAAGGGTCAAAAGCAACTGTAAAGGCAGAGGCATTTGGGTGGCTAAAAGACCCTAGAATTAAAACACATGCTTTCCAGACCCTATGAAAAGGAAGGCTTAGTTTTCAGGTGGAGTCTGCCACGTGGAGAGTCTGCGCCTTTCCCATTTAGGATCCATTTTTGTCTTCTTCGGAACTGGACTTTTTTCGTTACCTGGTATTCTGGGGGTGGACACCCTTACTGATAACGCGCTCAGATTCGGATCAAACATGCCAGTAGGGGCCTGAACATATTCTTTAACATGATAGGGTTTAGTAGGGAATAAGGGAAGATATTCCCTTCTCTATACAATATATTCTCTACTAACCCCCAGTAGGTTGCGGCCTACACTTCAATCAGCGGTTGCAGTCGTGAGCTCTACGCCCCCAACTCCAGGGTAAACTAAACCTCGGGGCTGCAAAACCCGGAACAGGTCCCAACGAAAATGTGGGGTATAGTCCCCCTTGAGTGGATAGAATATGGCTATGGGTATATTGTAATAAGATCCCCATATACCCCATATTTTATCTACTTAAGGGGGACTATAACTTATCTAAACCCTGAAGTAACTTTTTAATCTCTGCCAGCTTTCTAGCAAAGCGTGCCTTCAGTCGAAGCCTCTCAGCACTGGCCTTGGATTGCGTGCAGTATAGTAAAAAATCCGCGTGAAACTTTTATTGGAAAGAAGTTCGGGGTGCTACTCAGTCTTGTGAGCTGTAGTCTAACCTCCTAGCATCCCTCTCAATAAACCTTAGAATAGTCCCCTAAATACCCGCCTTTCAAGGAGTTTGCATTATGGCTGACTTGGTTGGAGATCCGGTCTCTTAAATATGCGCTTTGCATCACTGCGCATCTGGCTGATTTGGCAATTTGCAAACAGAACCCTAGACTCTGAAGCCCAAGCCCCCAAACCCTAAACCTCTCAACAGCAGAAGTAGGGCCTAGACTCGAAGTCCTTCAGCACCATGGAGTCATGTCGGGATAGTTCTAGAGGCCCTTGTAAAGGAGGGATCCTGAATTAGTAAACACTCTGAAGCTTTGAACCCAAACCCTAAACGCCAGTCTGATCCAGTGGCAGGAACTGTTGCCAGTGCGTGAAACCATTGGTTGCCCTGGTTCCCGGACAATGACCAGGCTGCTGTCCAAGCTGTGCCTTCGAATTCCGTGCTCAGGGTTCAGGATTTAGGGCGCGTCGGGAACGTTTGCCGTAGGTTTTTGTTTTCGTGGAGCTTTGGACCGCGAGATGTTGGTTCATGCGGCGGCGAAGTAGTGTGAAAGCATGATGCAGAAGCAGCCATACGTCAGGGCAGGTGCAAGAGATTTGGTAGTTTCCCAAAATAGGGGGACCCCAATATAGACCCCCAAATAGTATAGTCCTTGTTACAGGGACCCCCACAAAAAGGGTACGTACCCCTCATTTTGGGAAACCTCCATTTGAACATCAAAGAGGAAGCTGAAGCAAGAGCAAAGCTTGAGCAGGCATGTCTTGCAGTATCATGATCATATGTACCATAGTCTAAACTCCTGAAAGGGGGTTATATGGGGGATTATATAGGGGACTACTATAGGGGCTATTAAGGGGGATACTAGGAGTTTAGATTATGGATCATATCGAAAACGAATACACTCCGCGTCTCCGAAAATTAAATTGGAAGACGCGAAGGGCACCCCTCTCAGTGTTTCGCGGCGGCGCCAATCTGGACATAGGGCAGTATGCCGCTTGACTCATTCAAAGTAGTGAAGTCATGGCAGGCGCAAGGACTTTGGTAAACTTGGACATGAATGAAAAAATTTTAAGAAGCATAAATCCTTGTCATGCAGTATCATGAATATGCACAGAACGTATACACTCCTTGCATACTGCTGTACGTCCATACTTGAGCTGCCGCAAAACACTGGGGTGCCATCGTCTTCCAAGCCCCAAGTTGGAAGACACAGAATGTAAACTTTGTACATACTCATGATACTGCATGAAACACTTGTTCAGATTTATACTTCCCACTACTTCTACGCTCATGTCCTAGTTTACCACATTTGCTCCGCTTGCCATGACTTTTCACTGCATCTGCATGACATTGGGGTTATAGAAGGCTACTTGCAGTTGGACGACTGGGGGGTTGTGGTGGATGTGCCTGAATGGTAGTAGAATGTCGAGATGTTGGCCTGCAGGTATGCTTTAGTATGACCCCCCCACCTCCCCCCCTCCCGCTTTCGCACAAGTCCACGCATAGCTTGTGAACAACAGCTCTTGAGCAACATGGGTTGCGGCAAATGTACCAGGATTTAGGGTATAGGGTTCAACGTGATATCAGATCAAGGCGTACGCTACACAAAGGGCTCAATAACCAAGCTGGAGCACCCATTTTACTCATCTTTATGTCACTAAACCTCAGTCAAGGCCTTCCTACACATCCAAGTCTCCATTTCATTTGCGGTTTGACTCTCAAGGTCCTAAATCCAAAGCCCATACATCTCCTTCAAAGCACCTTGCTTCAGCAAAGAGAATGAATTTGCACTCAGCTGCCCTCTTGATACTCAACCGCCAGGCTTCCCATCGACGAACCGTACCTGGGGCTATATACTGATATATTACACAATTACACAATACTGGAGAATTACATGCAAAAGAAGCAGAAACATGAAATGGAAAGTACTATAGGTTCCAGGGTCCGGGGTTAAGTTTGGGAGACAAGTGGGAGTTTCTCGAAATTCTCGTTCTAGGGACCCTGGGGATATGTGTGGAGTATACGGGGATTAATTATGGGGTTTCTTAGTGGCTACAACAGGATTATGGTGAGAAACGCCCGATTCGAAAACATCCGCTGGCGGACACTGTCATTCAGGCCGCACAAAACCGTAGAAAAAATTAACGAGAGCTGCTTTCCGAATGGGAAGGAGTTACATGTGGTAGAAGAAAGACATGTTCATCGCCGCGCTCAGCCCAAGAATGCCAGACTGGAGGATAAACTCCTGGGATTGGTGCTAGAAAACGTGCACGAACTGGGGCTATGCAGGGACGGGACTGCAATGGAGAAGCAAATGGAAAAACCACATGGAAAATGAAAGGGAACATGAAGTTCAAGCTAAGGTTATACACTGTATGACACACTGTATGACCCCTTATAAGGACAAGTAGAATCTCTGGATGGGAGGCGGGCTTACTTGACAAGTTTGCAGGCCCACGCAGAAGCCTTAACACAAGCTGCTGCACAACGCACGAGTCTTCGCATCAGCGCTTTGCCGGGACACCTTCTTTGGATACCCCGAACCGGACACCTCCGTGTAGATGTACTTGGTTCCCTGCCTTGGCTTATAGCCCCCCTTAAGTAGATAGAATATGGAGTATAATGGAAAAGAAAATGGAAACTACTATAGTATAATGGGATATAGAGGTAATGGATAAGAAAATGGAATCTACAGTTTAGAGTTTAGGGTATTATTGGGGTTCTATGAGGAAAAATGGAAAAGAAAATGGCAACTACTATAGTATAATAGGGTATATATTGGGGTTATAGTCCCCCGTAAGTAGATAGAATGTGGGGTATACATTGGATAACGGAAAAGAAAATGGAAAGTACAATTTAGGGTTTAGGGTTTGGAGTATATAGTACCCCTTAAGTAGATACAATATGGGGTATATGGGGATCTTACTATAATACTCAAAGCCATATCTTATCTACTTAAGGGGTACTATAGGAACAGGAATAAGTCTGGAAGCTTTTCATGTTCCATTTGATTTTGCATTGTTACCATATCATGGGAATAACGGAGAATCACAAGGAACTTAAAACGGAAATAGGATATCGGGATGCGCCCGGCATCTGGGAACAATGGAGAATCAACATGTAAAATCGGGTGGAAACAAGATATGGGCATTGGCCACGGCTTGCAATTCATGATGTCCAAAGCACCTCAACATTTGGCGCAAGCAGACAGGAGAAAGGCAGGCTTTCAAATGGGTAGCACACCCACTACCCTAAACAAACCCTCAACACTAAACCCCTCTACGTTTCCTTCATAGCCTGAGTTGCTGGGCCTGAGACGGCCCTGTGCTCGAACTACCTGGGGCAGACCACATGACAAGTCTTCAAAATGTTGGGTACTGCCCCCACCCAGTAACAGTCTATATTAGGTGTCCTATTAAAGGCTATATATAACCATACTGTAAATACTGTCCAACTGTTACTGAGGGTGCGCAGTACCCAATCAAAATGCATCGTGAGCCAGGTGTGGCTTGTCTTCATGCGAGCTATAGCCTAAACTCCTAGTATCCCCCTTACTAACCCGTATAATACTCCCCTATATAAAACCGCTTGAAGGAGTTGAGACCCTAAATCCTAAACCTAAATCATATGACTCTAAATAATAGCTTCCATTTTCTTTTCCATTGTCCTTATATGACCCGCTATATAACCATGTGGGCCCACCTGTTCGGCCAGAGTGTATTCGCCAATCCTTGTCTCCGACATTGGTCCACTTACCTGGGTGCTTATCGAAATACTCTTGAAAATGATCATGCTCAATCTATATTGGGCCCAAGTATACAAAAAACATGTAAAATGTTGTTGAAAAACAACCCAGTTACACCAGTCGGACTCGAAGTCGCAGCTCACCTGCCAAAACGGGGCGACTACAATGGGCTTAGGCGGTTTAGGGCTTTAGGGTTTAGGATGTGCCCTCCTGAGATAGAATATCGGGACTTACTTCAACCATCTCGGAAACTACAAACAGGCAATGACAGAATAACGGTGACCGTGGTGAGAACATGACACTGATAAAGGGGTTCATGGACTAGGCCATTCCAATCTTGCCATGTATGTAGCTTCCATAAATACCGGAAATTCAGTATAGACCCTGGCATCTCATAGTCCTTGATATAGGGACTCCAAAAAGGGACGAATCTTTGGAACAAACCCTCATAACCATTCTATCGTTCCAGCTTTCATTTCATGTTCCATGTTCTTTTCCATTTGATGCACCATTACTGAGGATATATATATATATATGAACATAATCACTGTTGAGATACCCCCCCCTCCCCTTTATGTCCCTACAAAACGTATGCCAACAGTAAGGCATTTTTCCTACAGTCACCTGGCACCCTTGCATGCACCCTGAACCCTAAAAACCCACCCTGAACCTGCATTGGAACCTCATCCTGCTCTGCAAGCAGCTGGGTGCCACAAGCTCCAGACTCCTGGGCTGCTGTTAAGGAACTCAAGTTAAGCTACCGCAATATAGGGGGAATATAGGGTTTAGCGTGTAAGTTACTATAATATGGGTACACAATAAATCATGGAGTTTCCTTTTTTTCTTGAGTATTTCAAATTCCTTAGCAGCAACCCAGGCTCTTCGCAACTTGCAGCACTGACGGTAGAGCCGGTCCTTGGTTCGCATTCTGTGCCGTGATGTCTACCCAAGCATTGCAAGAAGCTCAATTGTCTTGCGAAATGAGACCTTACAGGAATCGTCTGGACATGGTTGCTGCTTCTCCCTGGAGCACTCACTTAGGAAACGAGAAGTGGAAAGAGAACACATGTGATGAATGAATGTCGAGTGGACGCATTGGGACTTGGCCTTGGTGGTGGGGCTGGGGATCCATGTCTATAAATAATCCTACATCGGGCCCCAAAGTCTGTTAATATTACCTTTCTTCTTCTTCTCAGGGTGACAGGAGACCCTACGGCCTCCCGGGGGCCCAGCCCCCCACCCGCAACGGTCTCAGGTACTCCCGAGGATCGTGGAACAACGGGCCAGCTACATGATACCATTTGAAACGAACCGATGATCAGGTCTAGCCCACTACTCTTGCCATTGCCAATCCTACTAGGGAGCTGTGAGACTTATGTTCACACCCCCCGCGCTGCTGGCGGACAGTGCAGCTAAGAGAGCCTGGTCCGGTTCCTCATGATACCCTCACTCAAGCTATCAATCAATAATGCGATGAAAGCTAACCCTAAATATTACCTTTCTCTCTCTCTCTCTCTCTTTCTCTCGTAGACTCATTTTCGTTAACTGCTGTGTTACTTTCTGAAATATTACCTACATTGGGCTATTTAGATCCCTAGGGATGGCCTTGCGTGTGAACGGACCCCAATATAAACCCAATACTATAATCCTGCGTATAGGGATCCCCCCAAATTCAAACAGTGCCCCTACTAAGTTTGGGAACGCACCTCCAATGAACAGGAGACGTACCGGCCCGCAGGGGCCGTAGCAGGTGCAAACTGCGGCAGGCAAAGGGATCCGGACATGAGTGATATTGCTAGGATTTAGGATTTAGGGTTTGGGCACGCGCATGGCTCGCACGCGCATGGCTCCAAGCAGACAACCCCCAGGGTTGTGGGCTTATAAAACCCTAGCATAACCCCTATGTAATCCCTACATAACCCTGATATATCCCTATATGCCCCATCATGCCCTTAGGGTGAGCTACAATTTGGGTCCTGCCCCACCCGTTATCTGTAATAAGGGGTCATGCTAAGGGCACTAAGTAAACATCATATAGAGATTATCCATACTGTTAATGAGTGGCGGCAGAACTCGAGCTACACTACTTTAGGAGGGATACTGCTAGTGCTTAGTAAGGATAATGGAAAAGAACATGGAACCTACTATAGCATATTTGGGTACATATTGGGATATTAGAGAAATTACATAAAGTTATACAAGGCTTGAACCCCAAAAATGGAGACGCCACCAGCAATGTTGCCAGGGACCATCGGTTTGCTTATTGCCCGCCCAGGCTCAGAGTGACAAACTTCCCAGTTTCACCATGCCACAAGCCCATGTGGCCATCGTCGCCTGTTTTCGTTCGGGTTTAGGGTTTAGGGTTGAGGGTTTAGGGTTTAGGGTGTTGTGACACCGCTACACCTACCCGACCTTGGCCTGTAAACCCCAGATACTGTTCCGTTTTGTGCTCGGGCTGCTAACATTGCTTAACAAAAGAAGGGAAAGTACACTTGAGCCATAGTCTAAACTCCTAGCATTCCCCTTCATATCCCCTATAGTAATCCCCTATATCATCCCCCTATAGGGAATTTAGACTATAGCCTTCCCCTTCATATCCCCTATAGTAATCCCCTATATAATCCCCCTACATAACCCCTTTTAAGGACTTTAGAATATAAAGCCCTAAACCCTAACCCTAAACCCTAACAATCCCCCTATAGGGAGTTTAGGCTATAGCACACTTCATGCCAAGCTGCTGCCCAAGGCTTTGAAGGAGCCCGTCCGGTTCAACCTGGGTTGCTGATAGGGAACTTGTTTAGGGTATAGGGTTTAGGGTTAAGTTTTTTTTCTTTTTTTTCGCGCCAATTTTGCGTCTGCACGACACAAAGAGCCAGAGGCCCAGGTGATGGTTCGGTCAAATCAGATTAATGCCCAGCCGTCATTTCCTTTTCCTGGGAGTCCATCAAACGATGTGCAATGAAGCTTTCAAGGACGTGCTCTCCGTACAGCTCCCAAATCTGATGATCCTGGAATCCGCCCGTCTTCCAAGCCCTGAAAACACAGGTTCCCTCAGCACTCAGTAAAAACTCAGCCAGATCATCAATCGCTATCAGCGATGGTTTAGGGTTTAGGGTTTAACCTAAGTTACCTTGGTATGGCGAAGATGGGAGCTTCCCAAAATTTAGGGATACTTTTTGGGGGGTCCCATTAATAAGGACTATAGTATATGAGGGTCTACGTAGGGGTCCCACCTATTTAGGGAAACTACCATATAGACACGCGCATCGCACTCAGCAGGCACGGCAAACAAAGTCTGTCCGGTCAACTCAAGCTGCAGCCCTATAGGGTTTGGGGTTTAGGGTTAAAGTTACCACAATATGGGGTGTGTAGGGCTTAGGGTTAAAGTTGCAAAAGCAACTGGTGCGAAGGGTTTGGGCTTTGGGGTTAAAGTTACCACCACATGGGTAACCAGTCAAGAATAAAGTTTCCTCCTAAGCCCTAAACATTAAACCCTAAACCCTAACAGCAGCTTAGCAACTTTGAAGCGTGCTCCCAGTTCATCGGCTCCGAAAGGCCCAGGCCCTGATCCTGCGTATTGGGGGTTTCCTAAAGTAGGGGTTTGGGTTTCCCACGGGTTAGGTTTTGGGAGGGTTTGGGTTTCCCAAGGGATATGGGGTCCCAAAATGAGGAGTAAAAAAGGATACTACCTCAATAATGGAGGATCAAATGGACAAGAACATGGAACATGAAATTGAGACTGGGCTTATAGAGTGGTTCATAGGATTAGGATTTTTGGATCCTCTCTGTGCCCCCGAAGTAACGACGCTAAAATCTTTGAGTCTATATTGGGCCCCCCATTCATGGTTACTAGCTTTTGGTTCCTGACAATTTACTCCTTTGCCTCCCGTTTCCTCGATGTGCGGTACCATCCCTCATGTCGCATCTGGAACACTTTGCTCTATAAACCCAGTTTCCATTTGATTTTGCATTTTCTTTTCCATGTGATTCTCCATTGTTGGGGTAGTATCCCAATGTACCCTAAACCCTAAACCCTAAACCACTCAAGGTCCAAGTTGAAGCCCAGGGTCAGTGATCTGCAAGAACCTGTGCGTCTTAGCATTGTAGAGCGCGACTTCGTCGCCAACGGCAACCACGAAGAACGATATCCTGAGTTCTGTCCATAAATCTGATCGTACGGCTGAGAAGGAAACCCATAACTTATTGGTGCTTCGTGTTTTGCACTGGCCGTGTTGCGTATGGGTGAGAAAGTGTAGCCTGACCCATTTCTAGACTCGGCCCAAATTAGATCTGCAGCTGCATCCGTGCCATGAGCTTGTATATACACAGTCTGGAATCGCACACGCTTATCTGTAGTCCGGAATCGTTTGGAACCATTTGGGACGTGCCTATTCCGAACTACTCTGAGCTATTTGCTGCGCATGCCTGTCAGTTGTGGGTAGATACATACCCATATCTATATACATACACGCAGAGATGCATATATCTATATGTAGGTATGAACAGGCATTTCTACACAAGCCGTTCAGCATATTTGATCTATCTTACCAGAGGCTTCACATACAGTGTCGGCCCACTACTAAGGTTCAGGGGACTTAGTTGAACTGAAGATCCGACTTATACTCCCCCTAGCTGGACTTTTAGGTTACCCCACACAGAAGCAGGGTTACAAGCCAGTTTTACTTAGTAAGTCCCATGAACCTGCAAGTGGCCTATAAAACTTCCTGGAGAGTTAGTAGCTCGTCCGAGGCTCTCGTCTTCCAGCCCAGCCCAATCAAGCTGCTGACGGCTTGCCGAACCGGTGAGTGAGGAAGAGGAGACTTGTAGGAATCTTCCCGCCTAAATACAGGTGCACATACAGGGTTGAGGGTTTTGGAGCGAATGTAGGGACTGTTGTAAGGTTTAGGGTTGAGGGCTGGGGCCAATGCGGAAACAGACCAACTTATCATCATCATGCCTGAAAGTTGTGATGAGGATCATGCTGCAAACATATTATACGTTCTTTTACTTTGTGCAGAATCAACAGTACTTACCGGTTCTCAGTAGGGAGAAAGGGAGTTAATTATACAGGGATTATATAGGGATGATCTTCTCTACTGAGAACCAATAAGGTTAGTTTCCAGATGCCGATGCTCGGACATGTAAGTGCCGTAGGCGCTCATGAAATGTATCCTCCGCATTGCATTGTACTTCCATGCGAGCCAGTCTAAACCCTAAACCCTAAACCCCTTAATAAGCCTTATAATAATCCCCTATATACTCCCCTATATAACCGGCCTTGAAGGACCTTAGCCTATAGCTCATTTAGCAGTCCTCCTGGCCTTCTTGTTCCAGAAGGACACGGTTGACCCAACCTTCAGCTGTGCATGAACTTTTGGATCACACCAAACTGAAGCAGCATCTACAGGTCCCACCCTAAACATCCCTAAACCCTCTCTCTCTCTCTCTCTCTCTCGCAGACTCGAAACGTCAGCCCTAAACCCTTAAACCCTAAACCCTAAACCCCTAAACCCCACACCCTTAAACCCTAACCTCAGGTGTAGGATTTTGGGGGTACCAACTCGCCTTCAGCTGCGCGTGGCCGATGTGACCCCAGGCCAGAGTTGCAAAAGACACCAAGTGTGGTAAGTCGTTTGCCTCGCGCTCTTCGCCTCTGCGGCATTGCATCATTAGTATCAGTTGTATTATTAGTATCAGAAATATTCTTAATACTATCAGATATCATTCGTATTATCCGCATCATTCACCCGAGCAAAACCTGCCCCCCGAACCAAGGCTGCACCTCCTACGAGTGGGTCATGGGAATTCCAGTGGCTTCCGTTCCACTTATGATCCTGCTATGTCGACCACAAATCCCAAAACCGAGGCTTCGGGAACCCTATCACGAAGCAGACAAGCTCGCCTGCCCAATGGTCTGGCGCCAGGCACAAGCCTCAGCCAGTTCAATTTCATTAAGCCGAGACGCAAACATATTATGGCATGTAAGGATTTCGGCAGGAAGGACTGTAATAACAGCTCCAGCAAAACTGCTTGTAATTTGAAGTATGAAAACATTTGAGCTATGTGGCACGTTAAGGCGAGACATGCGCCCCAGCTGAGAGTAACAGACAAAAGCAACCTTCTGGATATTCCAAACAGTGCAAACGGCACGTCCTCAGAAGGAACCGACATTTCTTGGCTTTGGGAATTTGGGAAGGAAGAACTCGGTTTAATTGACAACAAATACGACCAAACATGAACCACAGTGTTTCCTCGCGTGTTTCCTTTCCATCCCACAGCATTTGCAAAAGCATTGGGGGGGTCGCCCAATCCCGAGAACAGATTCCGCAAGTTCATCGTCAACCTATTGCACAAGCCAGAGGGTTGCTGATGACACGCCTAGCAGATACCCTACAGTAGTAGATAGAATATATGGGGATCTTATTCTGATACACCCAGAGCCACATTCTACCTACTTAAGGGGGACTATACACTCTGCCAAGAAGCCATCCCAGGACAGCAAGGTCTTGCCATGGTGGGACTCAAACCATTCTTCCCCACGCTGGCGGCTGTTATAGTCCTGACTGGGTTGCTGTTAAGAAACTTAGATTAGGTTATAAAGGATTATATAACGTCATTTAGGTTTATGTAGAAGTATCTAGGATTTTATAGGGGTATATAAGGTTTAGGGTTACTATGCGAGCAAACCCTATTCTTTAGTTTATAGCCATATTCTGGTAGCTTAACTTAAGTTCCTTAACGTCAACCCGTCCGACGAACAGCAAGGCAAAGGCTTTCAGGCTTTGGATCGGGAGTGCCTTAGAGCTAAGCAGGTAGACTAAGCCTGGGTTGCAAGTATCCCCTTTATAACCATAGTAGTCCCCCCCTATATAACCCCTTGAGGAGTTTAGACTGTAGCTCATATCTCCCTTCTAACGTCAAAACATGCCATGCATACACTGGCCTACATCCACAAAGCACGGTCCTGGTACCTTGAAGGCTTCATGGCAGTGACCTGAATGCCAATCTGACAGCCAAGGTCGATCATGGACAAGGTCTGCTCCTTGAGCATTGCAGCTTTGGGCTACGGCTAAGTGCCGTGAACTGCAGGTGCTTTTGGTCACCGGAACAGAGGTGGAGCTGCTGCCAGGGGACATGTTACCGGGCCTCAAACCAAACATGCGGCAATTTGAAGACACACTGCGACAATGTACCTTGCTACATCTACAAGGTCCTGTGCGCTGTCATTATCTGAACGGGAACACGGCTCCAGACACGGCAGCCTTTCAATCTTTACGTGTTACATATTGTGACGCAAAGCGATGCCATACCACTCCATGCCATATGCGGCAAATGTATAAGCTGACCGTAATTGGAAGCTCACACGACTACCGGTCGTGTTGCTTTCTTGGGTCTGTTGGATCGGGCCTACTATGAAACTGCGCAACAGCGTATGAACATCAAGCTGAACCTACCAGCTCTGCGCCAATCACAAGGGTTCCAGGAGCTTCAGGTAACAACAGGCACCTTCCCCGACCTCGATGAACCGCGCAATCCCCAAAATCCTACAACCATGAGCTCCTCTGCCTAAACCCTAGACCCGAAAAGCCTGTGGACCCTAAGCCCTAGAAAAGCCTTGAAGCCTAAAAGCCTGAAACCCTAAAACCCTGAATGCCTAAACCCTAAGCCCTAAAGCCTAAAAGCCTGAAACCGCAAGCCCACAACCCAAATCCTACGGCCATGGGCGCCTCAGAGACCCAGTAGCCGTTCACACAGGTCAATTCCAGGCCCGTCACCTTGTCCTGCTTGCTTTCTAAGTTTAGGGATTTAGGGTCGAGGGATTTAGGGTTTAGGTGTTTCATGGCTTAGGGATTTAGGGTTTAGGGCTTCAGGGCTTAGGGATTTTTTAGTTTAGAGACTTAGGGTTGAGGTCTGAAGCTTCATGATGTACTGTTCGGGAAGCCCTTCATCAGAGTGACCGACATCTAAAGATTTCCAGACCCAGTTGCATAAATGACAGTTTTGAATCTCCCCACCAGTCCTTCGAGCTCTTTAAGAAGGAATGGTAAGTGTCTGGATGGCAGGAAGCCCGGATGTTGGTACCAGGAGAAAAGCTCCCTCCAAGCGGGAGTCCTGTGGTTCAGGGCTTCAGACTGTAAGCCGCAAGACCCAGTCCTACTATTATACTAAAATTCTGCAGGATCTTAATATACTATATAGGACCATAATTCCCAAGGTATAAAGCACTTAGGTTCGTGCAGGGTTTTTAGTATCCATCGTACTTTCGCACCCACAAGCAGCACAAGCTTTACGCGGCCTGTCGTATTTTTACTGCCCAGCACTCCAGGGAAACGATGCCCTAACTTCATTCAAGTGGCGGTCTGAGAGGTACTGCTTGGAGGCATAGCGACACAGGTCGCAGTTTTCAATCCCTGGCACCTCATCTTGTTTGTTCTGCCCTGCTTCGTCTTCACTACTTTGCGTAGCGGGACCCAGCAGAATCGCAGAGACCCTAAAGTACGATAATCCCGACTATGAGGACCCCCAAGAGGGTACCACTGCATAAAGCCAGTTTGCATTTCGTTCTCCAT